GTTTAGGGTTTTGGGTTTGGGGTTAGGGTTTAGGGTTCCGGGTTTCAGGGTTGTAGGGTTGATGGTTAAGGGTTAGGGTTCAGTAGTGTTAGGGATGCCGGAGCCCGACTAGCAGCTAGCAAGAGCCAGAGAGTACATTGCGAGGTGTCTTGGTGGCGGCTCTGTCGCGCTCTTCCGTGCTGCGGCTGCATCAAGGTCATCAAAGGATAGAGCCATCTGCATGCAATGCAGAGGATGTATTCGGCGAGCCGTACCCTCAACCCTAAACCCTAAACCCTAAACCTCAAGCCCCAAACCCAAAGCCCCAAACCCTACACTCCAAACCCTAAGCCACAAACCCTACGCCCTAAACCCCAAACCCCAAACCCTAAACCTTAAACCCTAAACCCCTAAACCCCAAACCCCAAACCCTAAACCCGAAGCCCAGAACCGTAAACCCTAAACCCGAAGCCCAGAACCCTAAACCCAAAACCCTAAACCCCAAACCCTTAACCCTAAGCCCTAAACCCTCATTCCCAAACCCCAAACCCTAAACCCCAAATCCTGTGCTCTGGTCAGGTCCGATCCTCTCAGCCTCGAGTCACCCGCAGCTTCTTTGGCGGCCCGACCTCGGCTCCTTAGTTCTTGTTAAGGAATTTGGGTTTAGGGTTTATGGAGGTTAAGGAATTTGGGTTCAGGGCTTATGGAGGTTTGGGGTTTATGGAGGTTTAGGGTTTAGGGTGTTGGGTTGAGTGTTTTTTTGAAAAAACACACACGAGTTCTTGTTAAGGAATTTGGGTTTAGGGTTTATGGAGGTTAAGGAATTTGGGTTTAGGGTTTATGGAGGTTTAGGGCTTAGGGTTCAGTGTTTAGGGGGTTTAGGGTTCAGGGTTTAGGGGGTTTAAGGTTTAGGGTTTAGGGGGTTTAAGGTTTAGGGTTTATGGGGGTTTAGGGTTTAGGGTTCAGGGTTTAGGGTGTAGGGTTTAAATTAGCCTAGTAAGGAAACCGTATTATGATTTACGGAAAAAATTTGGGAGGATATCCTATTTCCCAAATCTCGCGATAGGATCAGGAACAGGTCAGGAAACCATGTTCAGTATTATATAATCAGGGAACACTGTTATTTAGAAGTTATAGTCAGGAAACACTCAACCCTAAACCCCAAACCTTGAACCCAAAACCCTAAACCCTAAACCCCAAACCCCAAACCCAAAACCCTAGACCCTAAAACCCTAAACCCTAAACGCTAAACCCTAAACCGTAAGCCTAAACCCTAACCCTAAACCCTAAACACTAAACTCTAAACTCTAGAACTCCTTAAGAAGAACCAAGGCTTCGGCGAGCTTCGACCCGGCCACGGAGCTCCGCCTGTTCTTGTTTAGGGGCCTTAGGATGCACTAAGGGCTTGGGGTTTTAGGGTTTAGGGTATAGGGTTTGGGGTTTGGGGTTTAGGGTTTGGGGTTCAGGGTTTAGGGTTTGGGGTTTAGGGCTTGGGGTTTAGGGCTTGGGGTTCAGAGTTTGGGGTTTAGGGTTTTAGGTTTAGGGTTTAGGTTGAAGTCATGCAGCCTTCTTGCTGTGTAGTTGCTGCATGCGCAGGAGATGGGTGTGCAAGATCCTGTGGGATTTTGGGACCCTCTCGGTCTCAGCGCGGACAAGGACCAGGCACCGAACACTCCTACGGGTCGTAGCAGGAGCGGATGTAATATAAGGGCTTAAATAAGTACCAATACTAGTTGGTGGGTTCTCTATTCCACTTATGGTATAATATACCCCAAAGAGTTATTCCAATTATTAAGGCCCTTAATTTAGCAGTGATAGCAGTCGTCATACTGGCTTTGTTGGGTGGTGAGGCTGGTCCTTGTCGTCATCGTCGGGCGTCGTCGTGGCCGTCGTCGTCGAATTGATGCCTGCCTCTAGTGTGTTTGCATGGCCAGCCAGTACATGTATCTTCATGCACTTACTAGTCTCTATACAGCACTGCTGTGGCTTTATGGCTTGCGCATTTACTTTCGGATCCAGTGTCTTCACCATCAGCAGCATTGTCTTGGTACATTGCATTGCCTTCACGCTTTCGTGGACAAGGCCACCTTCAAGCGCCGCCGTGCCGTGGAGATCAAGCACGGCCGCATCGCCATGCCTGTCGGCTGGATAACTGCACTTGCAAGACAGGTGTTGAACGATTGAACATGTTTGAAGTTGTAGTAGTTGGAGTCGGCATCACGGCAGCAACATCAGCAGCAGAAGCAGGAGCAGTCGTGCCTACAGATTTGGTGCCAGACCACTTGAGCGGCTGATGGCTGAGGTATGCAACCATTGGCTACATCGTCCCGGAATACTTTCGCTTCCCAGGCTCTGCGGCATCAAGTAGGGACAAGTCCATTGCTTGCCTGCGCTTCAAACCAGAAAGCTTCCGCAAGACGGCCATTATCAGGTATCAAGATATCACGTGACTTCCCCAGAAAGAGAGAAGCGAAATGTCTCGCTGCACCCAAGACCCTAAACCCTATACCCTAAACCCTAAACCCTAAACCCTACGAGCGAAGCTTGCAAGCTTCAGGCTACTTGTCCCCATCCCTTGGCTTGAAGTTCTCCGCCACTTGCACGCAAGTAACGCTGCGGGAGTTGAGGTTTAGGGTTTTGGGTTCAGGGTTTAGGGAAAAGGGTTTAGGATTTAGGGTAGTCGTGCTGCTTTGTTTGCTTGAGGATCCAATGCCCATGTGCTACCCCAGCAAGGCTTAATTCATCGCGAGACGAGCCCAATCTCCAAAGTCATGTCTGTTAGCATGTTGGTAGCTCTCTGAACTAGGGTCCCTTTCTAGGTCTCCAAAATAGAAGGGCACCCTTATAGAAAAGGACCCCCAAAGGGACCCTAATTTGGAGAACTACCCTTATAGCACCCTTTCTAGATCCTGTTTAAGGAACCCCTTAACAGAGGCCCGTATAGATCCTTTTTCATCAACCCCCTTATAGAAGCTTTTATAAACCATTTCTAAGGAACCCCCTAAGAGAAGCCCTTATAGATCCCTAAACCCTCAACCCTACATCCCTAAACCCTAAACCCTGAAGCCTAATAGAAGCCCTTGTAGATCCCTGTAAGGGAACCCTAAACCCTAAACCCTGAAGCCTAATAGAAGCCCTTATAGATCCCTTTAAGGGAGCCCTAAACCCTAAGCCCTAGACCCTAAACCCTTAACCCTAAACCCTCCTAATAGAAGCCCTTATAGATCCCTTTAAGGGAACCCTAAACCCTAAACCCTGAAGCCTACTAGAAGCCCTGGTAGATCCCTTTAAGGGAGCCCTAGAGGACATGCCGAACGGCCTTGCGGCGCTCTCGAAGCTGCCCGTGCTTGGCGGTGCACAAATCATCGCATTCGCTGGGCTGATCGAGACGACAGGCTCAGGGGCAGTTTAGGGTTTAGGGTTTAGGGTCTAGGGTCTAGGGTTTAGGGTTTAGGGTTAAGGGTTTAGCGTTTAGGGTTTAGGGTTTAGGGTTTAGGGCTCAGGGGCTAGTAAACGCCAAAAAGTTAGAAACCGGATTTAGGACACATAGTGCTGGGATTCCCTATACTTTACTCTTAAGGATTGAGGCTATTGGGTTTCCAACTTTTGGGCTTCTACTGTAGGGCTTCGGGTTTTAGAGCTTCGGGCTTCGGGCTTTCGGGTTTACGAATTTAGGTTTTAGGGTTTAGGGTTTTGAGTTTAAGGTTTAGGGTTTAGTGGTTAGGGTTTTGGATATTAGGGTTTAGGGTTTAGGGTTTAGGGGCTGATGCAGGAACAGTCAGGTAGCCATGTCAACACAGCAATCATAGCGGCAAGGAAGGCTAATAAAAATAGTGAGTTTGCTAAAACAGGTGGAGATGTAAAGCTGACAGGTAGTAGCTGAGTAGTAGGAGGAATCAGAGACATCGACGTCATTCGCAGATCAGAGACTTTGAAGTATTTCAGGGCAATAAGTCTAGTGCGTCTACCACTGCTGCTGACTTGGAAGTTGTTCCCTTCTGCATGGACAGGCTTCTTCCAGGCGGCTTCCACCACTGATGGCCGTGGTCCTCGGGAGGGTCAGTTCTCCATGAAGGACTCCACCGAGTGACCTGGCAGCATGTGATGTGGTGGAATTCATAGTTCTGATGCTTGTGACCATCTCACATTGATGACTGTGTCATTTCGCCAATAGCAGCATCGGGAGTACGAGTACTACGAACAAGACCAAGTTCATGGTGATGTAGCAATCCCCTGAGTTCTACTAGCGGGTACTGATGCTAGCTATAGCAGCTTTGCAGATACGAACCATAACATCACCAACATTACACTCGGGGAGTGAACCCTGAACCCAAAGCCTAAACCCAAAACCCAAAACCCAAAACCCTACACCCTAAACCCTAAACCCCTGAACCCAACGCCCTAAACCACAAGCCCTGTAAGCAGCAAAATCAAGAATCGCAACAGGACCGGCGAGCCGGGCAACTACGGCGTCGGCTTCCCGACTTTCGTGGGCAAGGTGGAGGACTCCAAGAACTGACGGATGTCTGCGGATTTTTTGGGACACTTATACGGGCTACGTATAGAGTATTTGCAAGAGGGTTCAAAATTTCCAGTTCGTTTGCTTTGGAAGTATGTTCTTGTCGAGCCCCACCCCAAGCCGCGCTCCTCATTCTTGATCTCATAGCCCTTATCGTCATCATGATCATGAATCCCTTACCCCTAATATCAAACAGGGGGCCCCCCTTCCCCCCCAATAAGAACTCGGAAAGTGTCTTTATTATTAGGGGGTATTTTTTTTATTCTCGGCTCTTACTTTTGAGGGATCTTCCTCCTGCTCCTGCTGCATCTCTTTCCAGCTCCTGCGCTTGCTTTTGCTCTTGCCGGTTTAGGGTTGAGGGTTTAGGGGCTAGGGGCTATTGCTTCTGCTCTTCCTCTTGC